ACCACTTGGCATATAACTAACCCTTCACCACTCACTTGTTATATTGCCAGGGAACGAACGGCGAAAAGAATTTGTGCTCACTAGGCGGAGAAAGTGGGCAAGGGGAGGGTTGTCGGTCCCTTATACCGCCTAGAAGGAAAGAAAAAGGCACATGAGCGATTGAGAGGAGTCAAGTCCGGAAAGAGGACTAGACAAAGTTGGTACCTAAAGCAAGGTCAGATTGACTCAACCATCACCCCTACTGCATGACTAAGGGAAGAGATTGGTTTGGATTGAGAAAAGGGAAAGGAAAGCACAAAGGGCCGAGGAAAACGAACTTAGGCTTGTGGGAGGGATTATGTGTTGACCCCATGTGGGGGATGCCTTGCATAAATTATGTTGAATGTTCAGGTAAGTAGATTAAAGAAACATTGAGCGGGACTGGGCCCCGGGGATGCCGGGCGGTAAAGAGAAAGTGGGGATAAGGACGAACGGGTTGTGGACTTAACCTTTGCCCTTGGACAATTGCTTGAGAATGTTTGTGTAAACCAAAGTCGGTTATAGCAAAAAACATAAGGTGGCCAAGGAGGTCGCCTAAACTAAAAGTGAAAAATTCGAGCATGTATGCGGGATGAGCAGCCTGCACGTGCTCGCACGCGGTGATCGCAATCGGTATAGACCCGCCCTTAGGCATTTCGCAGCTCTGCGATGATATAATGACACACTCAGAAAGCTCGGAGTCGTTGTTGTACGACCTGGATTATTTCACCCCTTGGATAGAGGAAAGCCTCCGACAGAGATACCCTTGCCTAACAGAGAATCGACTGTGCCCTAGGGAGTTTCACTGCGCCACTACTAGCGACCCCCAGTGCTCTGATTTCCCCACTCAGGACCACACCCACTACTTCACCCATCCCGGATTTGTCGTTATCTCCACCAGTTTTCCTCCCTTCCGTCTTTTTCTTCCGTATCACCGACTCAGCGTCGTCCCGTGGAAGGCCATAGCCCCATACTGGCCCAGCACGCCCTGCGGAAATTATCGACGACGCAGCGACCAGAGGGCCCTGGAATCCCGAAGGCCTAACCCGAACGCGCGACGACCGCCGCCACGTGGCAACTTCTGACGGCCTGACTCATCGGAACCCCACCCACCCCGGAGGGACCTTCCAGCGAACCGCCGTCCTCGGAACCAATGGCTCGCCCGACCTTGAATGACTCGCGCATGCCATTTGTTTTATAACCAGAGGTGGTCCGCCCTCTCCGCCAAATCGCACTCGTGCCCCCGAAAAACTCTGCCACAGGAGATCTCAGTTCTGACCTGGGACTCCACCCCCAATTTTCCCAAAATCCTTGGCACACCCCTTTTCGCACTTCCAGGCCCACATCCTACTCCGATCAGGAAGTCGCGTTGGGCGTGAGGGTGGGCGTCACACTACCACTTCCTCACCCTGAGCCTGATGAGATATCCCATCCTTGTGTGTGATTGCCCTTAGGAGTTTCGATTCTTAGGCTGCATTCACCTCCTCTAAGACCATCCCACTCTTAGTGGTTCAGCGACATGACATTACTTGTGACATATTGCTATTTTTCTTTTCAACACTGAGGTCATTGCCTCCAGGATTTTAGGATTGTATCTTGCTACATGTCATTTTCTGTTGTTAGTTAGGATGTGTATACCAGACATTTGTTTTTCATTTGACATAATGTAGCTTAGGCTGCATCGCATGGACTTCACATGGAGCTTGCTCCACATCCTATATTTCTCAACTTTCTTTATTGCAAAGTCCCGTTGCTTTTGACGGATGATGTGTTTATGGCTCTTACGATCCTTTAGAGGTCCGAGGATCGCGCAATGAGCCTCTATCTGCCCTGACCTACAACCAGGGCCTATCGGGCTATTTTGCCTATTCAGCCTGTGAGACCAGGTCGTGGCTTGACCCCACAGGCCATGTGTTGTTCCAGTCCAGTCCAGTCCTGTTTGGTACCATTGTCGGGAGCGGGCCATTCCATTCCAGTCCAGTCCTGTCCGGTACCACTGTCGGTACCAGGCCAGTGCAGTCCAATCAGTCCGTTGGGGGTATACCCCAATCGTTGTCTGTTTTCAGTTCGTTCTTCATTCTGCACATTTTGGAGAACGTGCATGTTGAGTCCACGTCGGAGCTGCGCTGTCCCTTCCAGCTCCATCTCCACCTCTGTCTTGCTCACCCCTTCGTCTTCATCTTGACGGACCTCCATCCCGGCAGGTCCACCACATCCGCCGTAATTGCTGTCAGATGGATTGAGGAGAATGCTAGTGTGAGTATGCCTTAAGAGAGAGAGAGAGAGAGAGAGAGAGAGAGAGAGAGAGAGAGAGAGAGAGAGAGAGAGAGAGAGAGAGAGAGAGAGAGAGAGAGAGAGAGAGAGGGAACGAAAGAGGGAAGGTTGCAAAGAAGGGGAGGAAGAATCCGGCTATGGCCTCAAGACCGGCTCGAAGGCTGCAAAGAAGAGAAGGAGAAGGAGATTGCAAAGGCGAAAGGCGACGGAGCCCACGAGCTGTGACGGGGGCGTCAACATTCTGGCCTGCTGCAACGGGGACATCTCGACGTTCTGGTCTGCCGCCAAAATGATACGCCCAAAAAAAAATCTCTGCCGCCAAACGAATTTGATGCCGGTCATGGAATAAGCCAGGCCGTTCGAATTCGATCAAAACATCCACGAATTGCCACCAAAATGCCACCCGTGGAAATGCCATGCTACCCAAAAACGACTCCCTGAAAAAAAAAATGCCCGCCCCAAACAGTCGCCAAAAACAAGACCCTCCCCCCCCAAAAAAAATGCCCACCCCAAAAACTGAAAGGCCTGGTGACTCTCGCCACGACCAAAGAACAACCTATGCAACCTCCTATGCAACCTGCCCTTGATCACCCACGCTCCAAACTCTGTGGCGACCGTTTCGGCTACTGGTCTCTGCCCTGCCCCCTACCGTGCACCTTGTCGATGCCCCATAAACCCCCTTAGGAGTCGTCTACATTTCCACAAAAGCACGCCCCGCTACAGGACAAAGCGTATATAAAAAAAAAAAAAAAAAAAAAAAGGGCGCAACGGGGTAAGACGCAGCCTTTGGCTGCGAAATGTTAAAAAGCCCTGAAAGGCCGTCCTGTCTAGATTCGACAGGTAATTGAATTGGTTGGGCCGTCCTGTCCAGAATTAGGGTCAGATCCCACTACCCTGGATTGTTAATTTTTCACCCTCGATTACGAAGATCAACGGTCAGAAATGAGCAATAGGAGCTAGTGGGATCAGGCCCTTAGCCTTTATATTAAAAAAAAAGGCTCTTGTTAGCTGTTTTCGGGCGAGTTATTGTTTTGGGCAGTCGAGGACGATGGCGGGACTAACCGCGTTCAGGAAGGGGGCGTATGTGGGTGACACGTCAGCTCTCGCGCTGCTGACGTGGCGTAGACGCGCAATGATTCTCGATCAACGAGCTTCGGAGGGAAGTGGACATTTCCGAACGGAAACAGCTTCCACACTTTTCGCAGGTAAAAACAATAGGGGAGCAATATTTGATGATGGCAAGGGATTCCTCTCACCATCGAACTTGTCATAGCTCGCTCAGCCGTTTCAGCCGGAATCGTTTTTCGTAGATAGTTACAGTTAGCGCTAGCCCCCATGGGTACTATCTCCGTGTTAAGCCAGGTCGAATCTGGCGAATTTTTCGTCCCGTTTCATCAATTCTGAGCCCGAAAATATCGCCATTGGGGCCTGGAGCTCAGTCGAGTTAAACTTGGAGTATCTTAACTTTAGATTATCTCAGCGTGGGGGCAATCGAATGCAATCGGAACGATACAGATATTTTTTATGTTTTCTGGTGTTTTACCGTGGGGCAATCAAATGCAAACGGAACGATCCAGAGTTTTTTTTTTTTTTTTTTTTCGGTGTTTTTCCATAGCCTGTGGCTGCGTAGCACCGTGTACGCTTACGCGTACGAGTGAGGAAGTACTCGGAAGGACCAGTAGAATTCCCGCCAATTATCTGATGACACTCCCGGGGCAGCCAACTTGTTTTATGAAAGTCAATGTAATTTTGTCATTATAATTTAACATAAATTAATATAATTATTATATATATACTATTACCTCCGGTCAAAAGTCATATCGTTTTTACTGTAGTTTTAGTAATTCCTTACTCAAAAAGATAAAAGAACTCTACTTTGAAGAACACGGCAAAATAAGGAAAGGTCTGTCAAGAATCACGAGCAAGCAAACTTTTTCTGTTGATGTAGTGAAAACAGTGGCCATAGACTGCTTCTCGTACACGCATCAACAGATTTACATTTCTCCTCCGCATGTACAGCTCTGTACCTGGAATTTGAGAAAACTCTTGTTGAAGCTGTGTAGACGAACTGGCGATTGGATCTCAGTGTAGGGTATACAGAGAGGGGTGAGGGGGGGGAAAGGGGGGGAGGGAAGGCAAAGGGTGTATTGGCTTTTGGTCGTCTCAAAGACCTTACCCCCGCCGCCCCTCTCCCCAATCTGTCGTCGCTTTCACCTCCAAGCTTTTCTCTCTTTTTTTTTGGTTTCTTTTTGTTTTTGTTTTTAAATCTTAAATGTATATGTATTATTTTTGTTTTTGTATTGACATGTTTATTTAAGGTCAGAAAGTACATGCTAATGCTTTTTTTTCCCCAAAATTTCTCCTAAATTGAATGATAAGAGGTCGTCGGATGGCCCTCTTGTATTGATGTGTTGACATCGTCATCAATGTGTGCGGAAGCAACTTGGCCATCGCTTGTCACTATGCTTCTTCCTTCGTCTTCTGCTTTGAACAGTACCTGTCCCTATTTTGGGTATTCTCTCTCTCTCTCTCTCTCTCTCTCTCTCTCTCTCTCTCTCTCTCTCTNCTCTCTCTCTCTCTCTCTCTCTCTCTCTCTCTCTCTCTCTCTCTCTCTCTCGTTGGAGAAACGAAACGGGAGTGCATCTTCCCACAATAGCGGGAAGATGCATTCCCTTTTCGTTTTGCGAAACGAGACTCTGTCTCTCTTTCTCTCTCTTTCTCTCTCTCTCTCTCTCTTTTTTTTTCTCTCTCTCTCTCTCTCTCTCTCTCTCTCTCTCTCTCTCTCTCTCTCTCTCTCTCTCTCTCTCTCTCTCTCTCTCTCTCTCTCTCGTGTTTTCTTTGCTTCATCATCAACATCATCATTACCATCGTCATCATCATCATCTCTTTTTTCCCCCCCCTCTCATCATCGTGCATTGGCCACGGCCATGGAGATGCATTATGTAATGTGTGCAAATTCGGGATGGGGACGATGGCAGAGCAGGTGTTTGGACAATTCTACTTTCCCCCCCCTCCAAAAGACATTCTTTATTATCACGATAGAGGCCGGGAATTCCTCAACAAATAACCCAGAACAAAACCAAATTTAGTTGGACCATCATCCAGCGTAGGTGCAGGCCATAAAGGTCCAGGAGCTGAAGCTGGCCAACACTAAACCGCTGTCCTGACCTCTCGTTTAAAGACTTGTCAGTCTTGTCAAATTGTATCCTAATCTAATCCTAATCCCAATCTCCTAATCAACCTTGGGGATTAAAGATAGCGAACGAGGCATAAAAGCCGCACAAGCCACTATTCTCTTTTTTTCTTGGATTACTTGTATGGTATGTTTTTTGTGTTTTGTTAGTTGTAAAAGAATGTGATGTTGGTTTTAGCATAAAACGCTTCTACTTCGTCGTTTTTCCTTTTTTTTTTGCTTCGTACTCGTGGATTTGCTATTGATACTATTTATATAGTGATCCATAAATTTACTAATTAGTAATTAATAATTATAGAATAAGACATGTATTTTTCATTTCCGGATGAAGAAGTCCACAACCTCTGTTTTAACTTTTAATTTCGCGTATAACGTTCGTGGTCAACTCTTTATGTGAACACTTGTTGTAGTTGTGTGATGATGCGAGTCAAACACAAACAAGTCCTCCACACGGAGGACACTTTAGAGTCAATGGAAAATGATCAGTGTACAAATATGAAAATAGAATGATAGTATGTGGTGGATAATTGGCTCCCCGAACACGTGTCTTTTTTTTTCTTTTTTCTTTTTTCTTTTTTGCAGGAGTTGGTCATCAACTACTTTGGTACGATTTGCGGTCGGGACATGCCTTGCTGGCACTGCCAGTCTTTGATGGAGTCAGAATTCACGGAATTCAGGTAATGCTACTAGTGTCTCTTCGTCCTTTTTTTTTTTTGGACGGGGGGGGGGAGGAAAAGGGGGAGCTGTTCGTCTTTCTTGTCCCCCCGTTTTTCTAAGGGCAATGCGCGCGTTTTTGGTGGGTCCAGGATGCTGTTTATCACCGTTTTTCCTCTTTCCGTTCGAGGGGTTTAGCGTCCAACAGTTTTGGATCGGGCCTTGAAATCTTGACTTCGATTGACAGTGCCATACGTTCGCTAATCTTAACACCGAGCAGGTCCGGAGAGTGACTATTCTCACCTCTTCTTGCAGTTGATTCTCTCCCTGCTCACTTATTGTCACGCCCTTTGTACCTTGGTGTGTGTGTGTGTGTGTGTGTGTGTGTGTGTGTGTGTGTGTGTGTGTGTGTGTGTGTGTGAGAGAGAGAGAGAGAGAGAGAGAGAGAGAG